TGCATTTCGACCTCATGGTACTAATCATTCAAACTAATTGTGTATCATGTGTATCATTTGACATTATTTATGGCATGTATACTTGGGCCCCTGTGATGCTGCTTGCAGCTTTAATTCAACATTCTAATTGCTTTCATAATTATTACGCAAACTCAACGTATTGGGTCTGTGAATATTGATATATTGCTGACTTGAAAATGCGTTGCATTCGTAACAATTACGCAAACTTAAACATGGACGCATTTAATGCCAATAACATATGAAGATATAAAATATTATAATAAAATGTATACAAGGGTTGTAATGTTCGGTGTAATAGCTAGATGTTGAGTTGAGTTTTAAATTTGAATGTGAACTATTCCAGTTCATGGGTGCCAATAAAAGTTGAGAAAAACTGAAAGGTACAAGTCAGACTCTTTGAAAGGAATGAATCAAGAGTATACACATGACTTATTTGCCCCAACACATTGGTTTATTCTTTATTCTAAGTTGCATCCGTATAAATAAGTATCGGCAGTCAAACTTTTCGGAGTTGTCAACGTATTTGCCAACACCGAAATCTGGGGAAAATCGCAAAGAGGTGCAAAATAGCTGCCTGCATCGTAAAAAAATAAATAAGTAAACAATCTCTTCCATAATCACACCGAAAACATGCAGAGATGGCTGTTGATTCATTTGCCCAATGCACTGATGTTGCGTTCTCCCAGTGATAGTTCGCAAAGAACATTCAGTTTTCAGGAGTCACTTCCCTTACCAGCGCGTCTTTCGTTAAAATTGTATTCACGCAACTTGACCTTTTGACATAGATTTGATGATGATTATTTTATTTCAGCAATATTCTGTTTGCATTGTTGAAAAGTTTTTATATTCGATATCGTGGAAGTCGTAGAATACTATTGTTGTTGCGATAAATATACATTCCTCTATTCGCCGAGTTTATCAAACAATGTTTTATTCATTGTTATTGTACACTTTATTATTTCATGTACGCATATACTCCACATTTTAATAATTTAAAAATTAATTTTATTTTGAACCAAGGCATTGTGCAACACTTCCGTCCCAGGCTGGTTTGGTTTACGTCCCAGCAAGAGCAGCGGGCGACGTCAGCTAGCCTTATTATAAAATTTTTGAATTAAAGATACACTAGCTGTAACGACCTAGTTTTTTGTATTGCAAACGTGTTCTACATGAATAGCAATTATTTCCGTTCTATTAGCTGAAACTAGTTCAATTATTTGGTACCGGGCCCTTTTCTGTATGCTTTATAAGCTCGCTAAAAGAACTGAATCAACATCGTGAAGTGTTTATTGTACGTACCCTAAGCTCCGTTTGTTAAACCATCATACGTCATTGCTGATTGTTTGCGCGTGCGCAATTCCGAGTACTCCGCTGTGTCGTCACCGGAAGCGCTGTCCCAGCACAAACCTGTGTCATATGACGCCTTACTAGCCGATTTTGGCTAAAATTTCGCTTCGCCGCCTCTTAACAACAGTGTTTATACGCGGAACTTGATATTGCTTTTTGACTCCCATGTGCGAAGCACATAATGGGAGTCTTTGCAGTTAGTGTGTCTGTGTGTGTGTATGTGTGTATGCGTGTCCGACTCTTCCACTGCTATCTCAAGAACCATACATCGATTTTTGATGAAACTTGGTGCATAGATGCTCTGGGCCAATGCGC